GGCACTGGGCCATGCGAAAACAAGGGGGGCGAGGAGGGGGGGGGGGGGTGGGGGAGAAGGAGGAGGAGGAGGGGGAGGAGCACGCACGAGGAGGAGGAGGAGGAGGGGGGAGGAGAAGGAGGAGGAGGAGGAGGAGGAGGAGGAGGAGGAGGAGGAGGAGGAACAGAGGGAGGAGGGGGGGGGAAGGCAGAGGAGAGGGAGGAGAAAAGAGGAAGAGGAAGAGCAGGGGGAGGGGAATTCTTCAGGAGGGTAGGGGCCCTCCCAGCCAGGCGCCCATGGGAAGCTTCCGGCACGAGAAGACCGCTGACATCGAGGCGAGTACCCTGTCGCAGGTGGGCCGGGGGCAAAGGGGCAATATAGATCGAGAGAGGAGGGGGGCGGGAAGTCGGAGGAGGGAGGGGCCCGAGGGGGGCGAGGGTTCGATATTGGAAGGAAGAGGGGATGGGAGGGGAGAGGGGGAAGGAAACGGGACGGCGGGGAAGGGAAGGGAGGGGGGGGGGGGGGCCTTCAGGAGGCGGGAAGAGGGAACGGGAGAGTGGGGAGACGGAGAGGAGGATAGGAGGAGGACGAGGAGGGGGAGAGGAGATTGCGCGAGCCCCCTTCGGACGCCAGGGCCCCCGTGAGCGCCGTGGACGCCTGCGGCGAAACGCAGGCGCCTCTTCCTCCTCCTCCTCCTCCTCCTCCTGCCCCGCTTCCCCCGCCCCCTCGCCCTCCTCCTGGGGGCACTTGTGCGTCGCCGCGGGCGCCAGCCCCGCCGTCGCCGACTAGCGAGGGCGAGCGCGACTACCAGAGGGTTTTGGCCACGATGATTTCTCGGGTGAGGGTTAGGGCGAAGATTGAGGATGAGGATTCGGAATTCTCAGGCCTTCAGGGCGAGTAAGAGGATTAGGATGATGGTGGTGATGATGATGATGGCGACGACGACGACGGTGATGATGACGAAGCTGCTGATGACGACGACGAGGGCGATGATGATGATGGGGGCTGAGGACGGCGAGGAAGGAGGAGGAGGAGCAGCAGCAGCAGGAACAGGATGGGCAGCAGGAGGATTAGGGGGATGAGTGGCCCGCCAGGTAGGAGGAGTCGGCTTGCAGGGGGGGGCGGGCGCGGGGGGGGCGCCAACGACCGCGCCGATTCCGTCGCGGCCCGCTGCCCCTTCCCGGGGCTCTCAGGAATCCTCCGGGCCCAGTCGGCCCCGCAGTCGGCGCCGGCGTCGCGCCGCCCGCGAGCGCCAGCCGGCGGGCGGGCCGACCTTGTTGCGCATGTTTGGCGCGAGAGACCCGCGCGGGCCTCGCGCTGTGCCCGCGCCCCAGGGCGACGGCCCAGGCCCTTGTAGCCTCCCGCGCTGACGCGATGGCCTCGCGCGCGGCGCAGGAGCGGGCGCCGCCGACCGTTCGGTTCGGTCCCGCGCACTTCTCATGCGCGAACGCAAAGCCCCCCATGCTGCTCGCGCGCTTTTCGCGCTGGGCAGCACGGGGGGCGACGGCCGCGCGTTCAGTGGGAAACCGCGGCGCAAGTTTCCATTCCCGCGCGCGGGGCGGGGCATGAACTCACACACGCGCCGACGGTCGAGAACTCGCGCGCGCGCCCGCGCCTGCCATGTTGGGCGTGCGCACTGGGCCCGGAAATCTGCGGCTCGGCCGCCCGATGCGCCCCAAAAACTGCTCCGCCTCCCCCCCCGCCCCCCTCCCCCTCAAAACTCTTCCGCGCTCTTGGAAAAACCACGCCGCCGAGGCGGGGGCTCGGGCCGCGGCCTGATGGTCCCCGGGGCACAGGGGAATCAAAGGAATCAGCACGGAATCAGTGCAGAATCAAAACAGAATCGGCACAACTGCGACCCCTGATTCTAGCGGAATCAAAAGAATCAGCACGGAATCAAAACGGAGTCAAAGGAGGAATCGGCGATGGAACCAGAATCGGCCAGAACGGGGAAGTAGGCCAGAATCGGTGCCAGAACCCATGGGGAGATGCCTTTTTTCTGCGAGTTCATTGCGGCGGGTCCGCGACGTGGGCGCTCCGCGCGACTTCGCTGGTTCAGCGAGGCGCGCAGTCGGCGTTCAGAGTGAACAGGTTGTTTTTTCAGGGCGATGTCCTGGCGGCGCGCTGGCGCATTGCGCATTTGCGTATTCCTGGCGGGCTGTTTGAGGGCGACCTGGCAGCGTCGGCCGAATGGCCCGCAAATACCGCGCGGCCGATCGCGCGCCCCATGCGATCACGTCGACCGCCGTGCGCCGCGACGGCCGCGCGCCCAGGGCCGCGCCATTGCCGCGTTGGATTGGACGGCGCAGCGCCCGCCCTCCAAAAGTCGTTACATGCATATCGCGCGCGTCGAGCCAGCAGCAATCGCTTCCCAGAAGCAGCGTTGACAGGCGCCCCATGCCCGCTGTCGCCCGCTCCCGATCCAAATCGTAGTTTCTTAGGATGCGCTTGCGCGAATGTGAGCGCGCGGGCAAGTAACGCGCGCGTGCACTTGGCGCAGCCTGGGAAATCCAACATGGAGCCCCCCGGGGGCGCGGGGCGCCGGCGACGCCTCCGCCCGCCTCCCGCGCGCCCGACCCCCCCCGCAAGCCGACTCCTCCTACCGCCAGGTGTTGTGGGAGCAGTGGGTCTCCGACTGACACTTGTTCGAAGGCGCCCAGGATGAGGGGAGTGATGAGGATGAGGACGGAGAGGAGGATGAGGAACCACATGAGGATGAGGACGATAATGAGAGAAGGAGAACCGCCTGAGGATGAGGACGAGGATGAGGACGAGGATGAGGATGATGATGAGGACGAGGATGAGGAACCAAATGGGGATAAGGACGAGGATGAGGATGAGGGCGAGGATGAGGAGGGGGGCGAGGATGCGAGAGGATGAGGATGAGAACGAGGTTGAGGAACCGCATGAGGGCGAGGGTGAGGATGGGGAACCTAATGAGGATGATCGCGAGGAGGAGGAGGGGGACGAGGATGAGGGCGAGGATGAGGACTCAGCCTCGGCAGGCGATGAGCGCCCCGACTTCAGCTGCTCTGTGCGGAACTTCGGCGACAGGTATCGGCCAGAAGAGATGGGGGCGACCGAGCGGCCAGGAGAGAGGATGAGGGAGACGACGACGACGACGGTGGCTTCGACGGTACGGGTGACGACGATGATGATGGTAATGATAATGATGATGAGGATAATGGTGTTGGTGGTGGCAATGGTGATGATGAGGATGAGGATGGCGATGATGATGATGCTGATGATGATGGCGATGGTGGCGGTGATGGTGGTTTCCCAAGATCGAGCGAAGGGGAGGGGGGGGCGGGGGGGGGGGGAGGGGGGGGGAGGGGGGGGGAGGGGGGGGAGGGGAGGGGGAGGCGGCGTCTATCGTCGTCGCCGCGACCGATCCCCACTCCCCCTCCTCCTTTTCCTCTCCTCGTCCCTCCTCTCCGCTCTCCTCCCGATCCTCCTCTCCTCCTTTCTCCTCCTCCTCCTCTTACCTCCCTGCCTCCTCCCCCTCCCCCCCCCTCCAGTGACACCCTCCCTCAAGTCGCCGCGCCCCCCGTCAGCCCCCAGCCCTGCATGAAGCTCTTCGAGGCTTTGAGTGGCACCATTCTGCGGCGGGAGGAAGCGGTTCAAACAATCTTTTCTGAATGCAGGCTGATTAGAGCGGGGGGAGGAGGATGGGGGGGGGGGAGGGGGGGGGTGGGCGACGAGGAGGAAGGAGGCGGAGGATGAGGGGGGGGAGGAGGCGGCGGGAAGGAGGAGGGGCGAATGGGGGGGGGAGGAGGGGGGGAGGGGGATGATGATACGGGGATGAGGTAGGAGGAGAAAGGAAGGGAGGAGGGGGGGGAGGAGGATCAGCAGGAGGATAGGAGGAGGAAAGAGGAGTAGGAGGAGGAGGATCAGGAGTCGGAGGTCGGAGTAGAAGTAGGAGGAGGAGGAGGAGGAGGGGAGGGTGGGGAGGGGGGGGGGGGGGTCGGGGGCGAGGCGGAGGAGGACGGCGAGGACTACGGGGGCGACGAGGAGGGAGGCGGACACCCCCTAGAGGCTGCCTGGGCGCTGTCCTTCGAATCGGTCTACATGCGCGGCGTTAGGAAGATCGCGGTCAAGAAGCCCAGCCGCGCGAAGGTGGACGCGATCAAGCGCCCCAGGAGGAGGGATGTGACGATGACGATGATGATGATGATGATGATGAGGAGGAGGAGGAGGAGGAGGAGGAGGAGGAGGAGGAGGAGGGGAAGGAGTCCGAGCAGGAGCAGGAGAAGGAGGGGGGGATGGGGGAGGGGAAGCACTCCTGGGCAGGTATTGCCAGGCGCGGGGCCTCCGGATGATGTTCGCACACTACAGGCGCTACATGATGAACGCCGTGGTGGACTCGCAGCTGGAGATCGTTCAGGGCCGATGAGCGATGAGGACGAGGATGCGGATGCTGAGGAGGATGAGGATGGGGTTGAGGATGAGGATGAGGATGAGGATGATGGGTGTTGCTGCTGATGATGATCATGATGATGATGATGATGATGGCCGTGAGGACCAGGATAAGGATGATGAGGGTGATGAGGATGAGGTGGAGGATCAGGATGGGGATATGATGGGGATCAGGATTACGATCAGGATGACGATGCGGACGAGGAGGACGAGGACGAGGATCAGGGTGGGGATGATGATGAGGAGGATGAGGATGTGGAGGGGGATGAGGACCGCAGCCATGTCAAGACAACCAGAGGAGGAGGATGAGGAAGGAGGACGAGGAGGACGAGGGGGATGAAGAGGAGGATGAGGATCCGGATGAGGATGATGAGGATGAGGCCCCCCCCCCCCCCTCGCCCGCGCCCGCAGGACGACGACTTCGAGAGCGACGACGACAAGATCAGCGAGGGCCAGCTGCAGATGACGTTTGAGAAGGCGCCCGCACTTTGAGGTGGAGGAGAGGATGGGGAGGAGGAGGAGGATGAGGATGAGGAGGAGGATGATCAGGAGGAGGAGGAGGAGGAGGATCAGGCCCTCCTCCTCGTCCTCCTCAGCAGCAGGCCATGAACGAGAATGTGGAAGATGATTTGGCGGCGATCGAGGGCGAGGGAGGTGGCTCAGCAGGATCTGGGCAGCAGTGCGACGAGGGGGCTCACGTGCCAATCGAGGGCGACAAGGGGCTCGGCACAGACGAGATCGTCGACGTCGACGAGGGGCTCGGACGCGTGCCGATCGAGGGTGACGGGGGGCTCGGCGTCGACGAGATCGTCGACGTCGACGAGGGGCTCGGCGTCGACGAGGGGCTCGGCGTCGACGAGGGGCTCGGCGTCGACGAGGGCGCGGAGGTCGGCGTCGACGAGGGCGCGGAGGACGACGAGGGGGTCGGCGTCGACGCAGGGCGCGCGGTCAAGCTGCCCTTCTACAGGAGCCTGACTGGCGGGAAGGAGCGCACGCGCAAGGCCAAGGCAGGTGCGATTCCACGGAAGGCGAGCCCGAAAAACAAAAAAGGAGGAGGGAGAGGCGGCGGTTGTCGTTGAGGCGGCCGCAGCGGGCTCAGGGAGCGGCATTGCCTGGCCGATCGAGGACTCGCCGAAGGGCACGACGGGCGCTGGCAAGAGCAAGAGTAAGGGCGGGCCGAAGGGCACTGGCAAGAGCAAGAGCAAGGCCAAGGCGAAGGCCAAGAGCACGGGCAAGGGCAGCGTGAAGGAGGAGCCGAAGGTCACTGACAAGAGCAGCGCGAAGGAGGAGCCGAAGGGCACTGGCAAGAGCAGCACGAAGGACTCGCCGAAGGGCACTGGCACGAGCAGCATGAAGGACTCGCCGAAGGGCACTGGCAAGAGCAAGGGCACCGCGAAGGACTCGCCGAAGGGCACTGGCACGATCAAGGGCGCCACGAAGGAGGAGCCGAAGGGCGCTGGCAAGAGCAAGCGCACCACGAAGGAGGATCCGAAGGGCGCTGGCGAGAGCAAGAGCAGCACGAAGGACTCGACGACGGGCGCTGGTAAGAGCAAGAGCAAGAGCAAGAGTAAGGGCGGCGAGGGCAGCTGCGCCACCCAGACGATCCTGAGGAAGAGGCCCGCTGCGGCTCAGAAGAGGCCAGCGGGCAACGGCGGGCTTCACGTCACGTGGAAAGAGGACCTGGTTGAGGAGCGCGCCTTCGAGGTCGAGGCCGAGGCTCCGCTCGAGCGCGCGCGCGAGGAGGGCGAGGCGGCCCCGGGTGGAGGCGCGCGGGGCCCCGACGACGACACGGACGCAGAGGCTGAGGAGCGCGCCCTGCCAGGAGCGGAGGCGGCCAAGGAGGGCGCATAGGAAGAGCAGCGCAAGGAGGAGGCAGAGGAAGAGCAGCCCAAGGAACGCGACGAGGTGGTCGACCCCGAATTCCAGCACGACCTCGACCACCTGACGCAGGTCCAGCTCTGGAGCGAGGAGTGGCAGGACACCTTCGCCATCAGGAAGCTCCGCGGGGGGCGCGAGGGGATCGGCGCCCTCGTAGCCAGGTGGTCGAGCGAGAAGGTCTTGAAAGGAGGTCGCTGGCCGATGTTCGCGATGCTCTCGGACCGCATGGCGAATGACTATTGCCAGTCGCTGGGCGTGACGACGGGCAAGGAGGCAGGCCAGGCGATGCAGGTCCGCAACGAGATCATGGGCAAGATCGGGTCTGACGTTCAGGACTGGCGATGAGAAGTAGGGGGCGGATGAGGATGAGGATGAGGATGGG